TCTTTTTAATAACTACATTGAATTTAATAATTCGTTTTTTAAACAAATTAACGGCATCCCCATGGGATCCAACACGAGTTCTGCGATCTGTAATGTGTACCCTTTCACTAAGGAATTTAATTTCCAACAACAATTATCTCCATTACAACGTTCCTTTTACTCTAACATTTTCAGATAGATGGATGATATTATTGCAATCAGCAACTTCAATCAGATTGAAGAAGATCACATTTATCCCTCATATCTGATACTAAATAAAACTACCTTTCAACAACGGGATATCAATTACCTAGATTTGCAAATTATCAATTTTCAAGGTATTAAAATTTATGACAAAAGAAGTTAGATTTCGATTTCCCTACTATAAAACTCATTCATTGGCACTCAATCATCTCCAAAATAGTTCTTCTAAATACAATACATATTCCTTAGAATCAAAATATTTGCAATAATGTCGAATAATTTCAATAACTTGGTCAAATTCTCTTAGAGAATAAAACACCTTTATTCAAAATTTCATCATTAAAGAAAGCTAGTATTAACTATGTTTTTTTAAATTTATTATCTAAAGTGAAATGAAAATTACTACTTAAACCTTAATCGGAGGTAATAGTTGAATGACTAAGATAAGAGATTTAATGTTGTAAGGATCTTAAGTTTTACTAACGTTTATTTTTATTTTAAATCTTTACTATTACTTCTTATTTTCTACTTCCGGCCAGAATTAAAAGCTTTAACTTATTTATGCAAATTTGTCTGGCGAACGCCAAGTACTTAAGTTGTGGCTTTTAAGTACTTAAGCGAGAGAGAGGAAGGAGTTAGTCGAAGCAGGCCGCTTACCTTAACAGCTTTACTCGGTTGCTGGTTGCCTCCCAGGCCAGAGGTTTAATCATCGTGATAATTTTAAACTATTGTAGTGTTAACAGTTCTCTGTACTACATACGGCTTCCTGTTAATATACGGCCAATCTTACACGTAGGCCCTTGTTTATTATTCCAAATTTAAGTTAAAGTTTAGTTAATATTCTTATATTCTTAAGTTCAGACCACAAGTAGTTGGTCTCTGTATTCCGAAGTACGGAAATTATTGTCAAGAGTGAAAAATAAAGGGTTTCGTATACCCTTCCTGTGTATCTTGTCTACTTCCCACATTTATTGAACATAGCTTTAGTAAGCTCCCTGTTCCGAGTCAGGTTCCTAAATGTTCCCCAAGCAAGTAAGGAGAAACACTGAACCTGATAATGTAAATATGTAAAAAGAACTGTAATTTTCCTTTGTAGCTATTTTAAATTCATATTTTCTAATCGTTCTACTACTTTGTCAATTTAAATAAACTGGCAAAGTTTACTCTTACTAAAAATGGGACTCCAAGAATGAAGTACTGTACCCCGATTACTTGAAGACTTTTATGTTTTATAACTTGACCTTTTTCTTTTTCACTCAATTTTAAGCCAGTGTAGATTTCACGTTTTAAGATTTTACAGTAGACATAATCTTGCAAAAGGTTTCTTTTGCCACCATATTGGCGTCGACACTCTTCTTCCTGGCAGTTTTACCGACAACACCCATGATTCACAATCCCACACGCAAAGTGTAATAGGATATGACATTTTGAACACACATAAAAATACCGTTTTCTGCCATTTGACACATACGGAGGGTGTTCACACATTTTTGTAACGATTTTGCAAAGATTTATATATAAACAAACCTTATAATTTTATTTTCTAATATGATAAATCTGATAGCCTTTTTGTTTAACTATCATATTACATCCTGACTTCTAAGATAAAAGCCCTTTTCTTAAAACATCAAGGCTGATTTTATTCCATTCATCCTTCACAGTCTTCCAGAGTCCATCCAAGATTTTGGGACCCGCTTATAAAGAGCTTGTTTTAAACGTCCAAAGCACAGTGATCCGAAGGAGACACATCAGAAGACTTGATTCAAAGGGAATAGCTTCAATTCCAGTTTCATTTCTCATTTTCCCCCAAAATAGAGCAATAGATTTACAGGTCTTGGAGCCTTATTCTGATCGAATTTAACAAAATGAAGATTGTTTGGATAAAGAGATGGAATTTCTTCATTAAAAATAGGTGTTAAAATATATTCCTGATTGTAATCCGAATTAGTTTTGACTTTTTTCTACTTTCCTTATTTTAGGTTTTCCGTTATAAGAGAATCCAGTAATAACCATAAAACTTTTAGAAAAACTTTCCTTGTTTTCTCTGAACCAACATATTAAGTCCTTTTCTCCACTTTTTCTATTGCAATCAAATAAGTATATTCAAGCCTCATCAGTTGTAACTATATTTTTCAATTTTTCATCTGCCAAATAATTTTCATACAGCAATCTGCACTAGCCTTACGCTGAGAAACAGGTTTCGGTGTTAGGCGATGAACATCAAGTATATACATTTTTTTTATTAGCTTTAAATCAGATTTTATATTTTGTTTGTAGTTCCTACAGAGATATTTAAAGATTTTGCAATAGCTCATTGGAAGGCTGGATTTTTCTTTAAAACATGAGACGAAACTTTAGATTTAATCAGAGCTTTAAGTATCTTTGTTGGGCATGCATTTTTTGCCTTTTAACAGTCAGATGTAAACTTTGACGTTTGTTTCTATTCATATTAATATTTCACTTATTTTACGTGTAGAAATATTAAAATCATGCTTTTCACATCTTTTTTTAATAATTCAATAAGAGTATGTCTCTTCAGACAGCGCAAAAATATAGCCTTCGAGCCACTATTTATTTTTAGCGACATTTTAAAGAAAAGAATATTTTTAAGACGATAATTAAACATTATTCCAATTTGGATGGCAGTAACGTTTGTATTTAAAAATTAATATTTAAATTCATGGAGAAAATCAAAATCATTACAAAAATGTGTGAACACTCTCTGTAGTCACTTATCTCATATTATTTCAAAGAAGTACAATTTTTCTATATCTTCAGCTTTCTTTTGCACGAGTCCACAATTTGGAAAACGATGGCCTTTTTAAGAAATGCAGTAAGTTTATGTTTGTTTAATAATTCTGTTCTACTTGGTTTACAGTTTTTTTAGCCAATTAAGGCTCGAGTTTGAATTTTTGTTATTTAAGGAAATCTTTTTCAGAAAGTTTTTCATTTTCTTAGTATTAAAAGTTTAAGCTTCGCATAATCGAGATCACCCACTTTTTAAGTTTTGTTTAAATGACAATTTTATTCAAAGCGAATTCTTTTATTCATTAATTTGTTATTACTTTTGAAAGTCGAATTTGCATGTAATGTACCTTAGGCATATTTTGTTTTTTAGATTAGTCATTTTTATATAATGTAGTATTTTATTCAATTTTTTTCAAGTTTTTTATTCATTTTCTCTTTTTTCTGAGTGATACAAGTAGAATACGTGTAGGGAAAATTCTGGGAATATTTGAGATTCGATCTTTCCTTTTTAAAGCTTTTATTGAAAATGTAATTCAATCTTTTATCGGTTTCTGATCTCAAATGATTCTGAAGAACGAAACACGTATTCGAGACACATTAATCGACTTTTCTGAAACTTTAATTCATTTTCCCCTGATGTGTTCTGAATTAGGGTTTCAGAAAAAGGAGATTAATTTTAAAATTTTTATTTTTATTACTTTACCATTGTTATTACTTTACCATTGTTCATATTTTATTACTTTACCATTGCATTTTATTCTTCGGGTTTATTGTAATGTTGAATTCTTTCATTAATTTGATTATGTTACTAATTAATGATTATACATTTTATTCTTCAGGTTTATTGTAATGTTGAATTCTTTTATTAATTTGATTATGTTAGACCTTTTCAACGGTAGCAGTTATTAATATTGTTAATAAAGGTAGCAGTTATTAACAATAATATTATATATTAATATTAATAACAACGGTAGCAGTTATTAATATTGTTGTCTCGCTTGTTTTGATTTCAATTTAATTTTAATTTTTAATTTTGATTGCTTTAAGTTAATTTACTTCAATTCAGCAGCTATAGCGCAGGGCAGGTTTAATTTTTGTTTTCGTTTTTTGTTTTTGACATATTACTAGTTTTTCTCTATATTATATATATATAATATATATATTCTATATATATATATATATATATATATAACTTAAAGCATCTAAATAAATTAGTAAATTCGAATAAAAGCAAGGCAGTTCCTCTATAATAGAATAATTGCAATTGCGTATCAGTGCTTTAACACAGTATCGAGACTAATCCAATTAAAGAGAGAATTCACAGTAGAACAATCTCGAAAAAAAAAATTGCGAAATGGAAAATATACAAACTTATATAAATAAAAATTAATCTCCAATCCTGCAGCTATAGCACAGGACGGAGTTTAAAAAATTTTTATTCGAATTTTTTGCCTATTTATATATTTCGTCATATATATATTTCATCATATATATATGAAGAAATTCAGGAAGAAAATATTTTTAAAACTGGAAATGTTTTAATAATTTGCATTATTTAAATTGCATTTTCTCAATTTGCATTTTTTCGATAGGTCCTAAAACTTAAACCATAAAGGACTACATTATTTAATATTTTAATCGCATGTTTATTATTACATACTTTATAGAAACAAGAATTGGGTATTCCCAAACAGTGAAACGATAAATTATTGGAAGTAAAACTATAACTGAAGTCATATTTTTTCAAATTTTTAACATATAAATATAACTTTTTTCTCAGAAATAATCAATACTTAGTTACGAATAATATTTTAATAAACAATATAATAAGAAATTGGGATATCAACATTTAAAATTGTAGAAGAAAAAAGATATTTTATTTTTTAAAAGTTTCTTCAAAATATTTCAATTTAAAGAAATTATGGCAAAAAACATTTTTTAAGCTGAAATCATTTTGCCTAACAAAAACGTGTAATTCTTTCAAATACATTCATAAAAAATTATACGATCTGCAATAATACCGTGTATGGAATCAGCAATCAACAAACTGGTCAAAAGCTTTTACTTACTTTCTTGATCCACTTCAGTTATGTTCAGCATAAACCCTCTAAACCGATGTTGTGGAAATTCGCTGCTATAAAATACAACGTGAATAAATCGTCCTGTAGTTTTAACGCCAACAGAAGGTGTACCTGTACAGTATAATCCCAGAATTGGAGCGCTATTTGAGTCGCCGTCGAACAATACAAGACCATCAAGGATACAGTTGAATGTAGGCCAGATTGAAAGGTCAACAAAATCTACATACAGCTGCATAAAATAAATGTTAAATTCCGATGCGTAAATAAAAAAAAAATATTTTCCATTTATATACGAATATCTTTAAGCTTTAATGTAATAATTTAAAAACAAGTGTAACATATAAAAGGAGGGTCTTTATTATAAGACAACTCGCCCCAAACAATTTTCTCTCAAAATACTCGTATATATGAGCAAACTTGTTACTTTCAGTGAGAAAACGTACTTTCGTCATCAGCTCATTTTGCTCTAGTAAATTACTTTTTGTGAATTACTTGTGGTAAACATATGAAATATATTTCATCAGCTCATTTTGCTGTGGTAAATTACTTTTTGTGATTTACTTGTGGCAAACATATAAAATGTATTAGTCTTAGGCTGCTATTTCAATAAACGAAGAACGAATTAGAACACAAACTTTAAAATCTTCTCATTGAAAATACTTATTTTGAAAACAAAAACTTTTATAAGAGCAAGTAATAACATATATATAATTTAACTGTGGCCGATAGGCCAAGTTGGCGCATATACCTTGCTGTAGAAAACTGTTTGGCACGTGATCACCTGTAACGGAAAATATATGAAAAGGAAACTGTTTTGAAAGAAGAAACTGTAAAAGCTTCATAAAATTTAAAGTAATATACAAGAGGGGGAAGAAAAATATAATATGCATACACGCACACACAAACACATACTACAAGAAACATGCATATATACACAAAACTACGTATGTTTTTGTTGTTGTCTTGTCCATGTATCTCACGGAAGAATGCTTGCCAGAGCCTCCAGAAAGTTGGACTTCTACTTCCAGTTTTGAGAGCACTCTAGGGGTCATGGAGGTAGGAAAGTTACTTCCTACCTCCATGCTAGGGGTGGAGGGGGGTCCGAGGGTCTCCCACCCCTCTTTACCACCAAACTACCTCCCACAACCAAACCGCACGAGAAACCACCTCCTGCTACCAACCCACACGAGAGGACTTTCAGCTCGCCAGATATTTAAAATGCCTCGATGCTGCAAAAGCATTACACATTTACAAACATCCATGCCTTCTCTACGGCAATAGGCTCCTATTACCACTATACTGTTTGGGTGGCATATATATATATATGAAATGTAGAATCTCATACATTATTTGTGTTGTGCAGCCGGGGCAACAGAAATGAGACAAATTTTGGAATATAAAGTGATACGTTTATTTTAACATCCATCTCACAAGCGTTCCTCCTGTACCTCGAGGAGAAGTCATATTTATAGATATGTGTGCGTCATGGTGCTCACCCAATCAGCGATATTAATTGAAATCACGAGGTGACGCTATCTTCTCATCAAGAGTGTTCTTAAGGACTTTATGCAATATGACAGATTTATGAGTTTGGCGATTTGGCGGGTGCCAACAGGTTAATATAATTTATAATAAAGAAAAGATTTCGCCAAAATTTAGGAACAGGGATGCAATTTAGGTAGAGAATCACCAACACATTTATTAAGCAATATAATTAGAATTTAAGTTAATCAATTGATTTAAAAATAATATTACATATATATATACGTATTATGAGATAAGAAGTAGTCAACGATTCGAGAAGATGGTGTGGTGGTGTATTTAATTATGGCAAAGCACACTAGGGCTATCTGCCTAAGAGGAGGGATGCCTTTCGTGGAGGACTTTCTAAGGGAAACTGGCTCGTATACACGTTACACATGGGGAAAACCACGAAAACACCCATGCAGCCAGCCCGTTCGCGGGATTCGAACCTCGGACCGAACTACCAGTGTTCAGCGACTTTACCGCTCGGCCGCTGGTGGGCCGATTCGAGAAGAATTACAATTGTACTAAAAAGTTAGAAATTAGTGCGAAGTGCTGCTAAATTTAGTATGTGTAAGATAAAAAAATATGTAAAATATAAATTATAATTAAAATTAGTAGTAACCTCTTAATGCTTAATTTCCCCTATCTATTCTAAAAGTAGTAATCTGTTTCTTCACTGCGTCATTTCGAAGCTATTCCATGCCATATGACTCGTACACAGCACTGATGTTGTAAATGGAACTAAAACTCAAGAAACCAATAATAAATTTACAGCAGTATTAATTATCTCATCAAAATGCATTGAGAACCAAAACTAAATCAGTCTGAACTAAGATTTCATTCTGAACACAACGTACTTACTTTCCACGTATTGGCCTAGCTGGACTGCTTTCTGCTGCTCTCTTACTGCAAAGCTAATAAAGTATTTTAAAACAGGCACAAGTAGTGTGTGGCCGCAACATGTTTACTGAAATAAAAGTGAAGATATAATCTGCCTCGGCTGCTAGTTTCCTATTCATTATGGATCAGGCCCACCAGCGGCCGAGCGGTAAAGTCGCTGAACACTGGTAGTTCGGTCCGAGGTTCGAATCCCGCGAACGGGCTGGCTGCATGGGCGTTTTCGTGGTTTTCCCCATGTGTAACGTGTATACGAGCCAGTTTCCCTTAGAAAGTCCTCCACGAAAGGCATCCCTCCCTTTAGGCAGATGGCCCTCGAGGCTTTGCCATAATCACACACACACACACACATTATGGATCAACATTTCAACATTCTAAGCAATCAAAGTTCTTACTGTTCATTACGGATTCAACATTCTACGTTCTACCCGTTTTACCTTTCTACCCCATCAATACTGCTGTCTTTTTCATTACAATGAAAAATTTTTTTATTACACACACACACACACATATATATATACAATTGAGAAAAGGTATAATATATTAGTTCTACCAAAAGTGGCAAACTAATGCTGGGAAATACACTTAAACCTGATAACTAGGTATTTACTGGATGCGTAACAATTGTACACATATAAATATTCCTCTTATGTCTATTATTAACAAAGGGCCACTTATATTCTAGTCCTATTACATGCCCAATACGTGAAGACTTTGGTATTTATGTATTATACAGTCGACTATAAAAGTTGGCTGAAATCCCTCCAATTATTCCTACAGAATGAACTAACAACTCTTTATTTAATAAATAATCAGTATTCGAAATGCTTCGCTTTTACGCTTCTTGAATCTATTACTGTTGTATTGGCTATCTTCAGCTCACCATACCGTGTCCATTAATGCACACGTTTTTTGATGGTAGGATCACAAAATTTTGAAAATAATCTACTTTTTGTTGTTCTGTAGAAGACAGGCCCAATGTTTTAATCTCTTTAAAAAATGCAAGAAAAATGTAGCAGTAACATTTAATTCATATTCCCATTCATAAAAATTAAAAACTGGCTTACCGAGGATCAGTCGGGTTACATCAGAGGAAATTCAGATGTTATGAAAGTGTTGTTACGTCGCGCTTATTTATAAACGGCGCTAAATCGCTTTGCTTGGCGACAGTTTCCCGGTCGACGGCATAATACGTAAATCACCAAAAATTCTGTTATTAAACTTGCTATTATCTTTTTCTTGACTTTTCTTCTTACTTCCCATTTCACAACTGTTGAAAAACATTATAAAATAAAATTTTTTGCATTTCTTTCTTTAAATCTGCTCCGATTTAATTTTTTTTCTTGTAAGAAATTAAGATATAATTTTGTTATTATTTAAACACTTTTTTCACATCGGAAGGAAACTGCAGTTACTCAACTTCTCATTTTGTAAAATTCAATCCCATGTTCGTGCTGGATTTTATTAAAGGTAATATTTTACGTTTTGGGAGTTTTAATGCTAAACTCTCTTTCAATTTAAGCGTCCCTCTCTGTTTTATTAGTCAACGTGAGTTGTTTAATTTTATGTATTTCAATTTCTGTTCTTTAAATGTGTATTTTCGTTAAAATTTTTCTAGAATTTCATGTCTTTGGATAGAGACAATTAACATTAGTTAACATTTAGCTAATTAGGATTTTTAGATAAAATAAAGTACAGTGAACATGCTAGATTTTGCGCTTTCTTCATTAGGTAGTCATATTTTTCTCGTCGTTCGTAAAGATTTTATTTCATCTTGATAGCGGAATTAAGGGAATTGCGGGGTATTTTTTTCTCAGTCAAGTGTTGGGTGTTTTCAACGTTATTTATTAATTTTCAAAACAGCGTATTTTTAAATGGCGAAAATGGAATGCCTATTTGACTTCCATGTTGTTGACATGCATCTTGACGAAAAGGTATGGTTTAGGTTTTTTCTATGATTTAGGGTTTTTCTATGATTTGCAGCGAAAAGTAAAAATTATGCCTTTCTGGCTGATTGATTCTTATTTTCCAGAGTTTATGCAACGTAAGATGCACGAAAGTAATCCTGAAGAACAGTTTTTGTCATTATAGAGGCCATAAACGGGATCTGCCATCCAACGGATAACTTTATTTCTCAAATAGGTTTTATTTTTTATGTATCATATAATCTTTATTTAATAATTTATAAATGATCATAGTAGGTGAGCAACAACAAGTTTGTGTAATTCTACGATTTTTTAAGCGAAAACAGATCACGTGTGCACGGGAAAAAATTAGTACTGCATCGTACATATGTATATATAAGCTTATATAATACGTACTCACCTATAGTTTACGTTGACGTTAGCGGCAGTTACAAATAACTCCGTTCCTTATTTATAGGGCAACAGGACTTTTTGAACTGCACTATAACATTCCATTAAAAAAAATTAATCGCACTCTATTATATTAAAAATAACAATTATACACGAAAAAATATAAAAGTGGGGAGCCTTCAAAGTTTATCTAAACATATAATCATCCATAAATTTTAAAATAACATAATTCCATACTACTTATGATAATTATTCAGTTTCTCGGCATCTGTTTATTATCTTCTGTACAAATTTTTCAAATTATTTCATTCACTTAAAAATTCTTATCAGCAATTCAAAGTTTTAAACGTAAATTTAAATTATAATTATCTACTTAATAACCTTCTCTAAAGATAGCATAAATATCTTAAAATTCGTTACATAAGTTTATCACACATAATTATGAAAACTTAAATCTTTTGAACAATAATTTCACATTTTTTTGCAAAAC